GACCCGCAACGCATGCACCGGACCTGCATGGCATGCACCGGCCCCCCACGGCGTGCGCCAGCCCCCTGTCACACTCACCAGACCCCATATCGCGTGCACCCAGACCCACATCACGCACACCCGTCCTGCAGCACAAGCGCCGGACCCATAGTGCGTGCGTTAGACCCACACAGCGCGCATCGGACACACATCACACTCGCCAGACCTGCAGTGCACTCGCTGGACCCTCCCTGCATGCACCAGACCCTCCCTGCATGCACCAGACCCTCCCTGCACGCACCAGACCCACATCTGCTCATACAGCATCCAACCGTGTCTCCTGGCACCATGGGGCGTTGCAGGAGCCGGCGCGTCTGTGCAATTGAGATTTTATTATTTAATGGCTTAATGCTCCGTCTCCGAAGGGATACAGAAAATACAGGAGCTGACTGATGAGCCGGGTGCTCTTTTTCTCTCCTCCCAGCAAGGTCAGTGCTGCCTGCTTGTCGCACAGAAACCCACTGCTGTGCATTTGTTGTGCTTATAAAATACTGGCGTTCCCACCCTCCCTAGGCAATGGGTGCCGTGGCCTTGTGCCAGGAGGTACAAATCCTGATTTCCAGGGCTGCTGAGGTCCCTGGCCCGGGGGGGGGGGGGGGGGGGGGGGTGTGTGGACGAGGATGGGTGGGGTCCCTGTGTCCCAAAGGTGCCCTCTCCCCATCCCCACTGGTGCCCTGTCAGGAGGGGGCAATGCCTGTGCTCGCACCTCGGCAGCATTGCAGCGGGCTGAGGCGGGAGATTTGGCACGTTGTTAAAGTAGGCCATTCCAGCGGTGCGGAGACCCAGGGCTAATCCTCCGTGACCATCGTCTTTCCCCAGCCCTCGTTCAAGGTGGATGATGGTTAGGGGAAACCTGCTTCCGCCGTGCCGAGACCGCACGGGGGTGCGGAGGGGAGGAGCAGCTGTTGCGCTGGAAGCTGGATTTGCCTTCCATGTTTTTGCCTTCGTATCCCGAAGGAGCGGGCTCTTCCTTCTGCTTACCGGTCCTCAGCTCGGCTCCCCAGCAGAGCACCTGCACAGGATGGGCTGTGCGGTGTGATATTACGTGCATCCCCAACCTGCCAACCTTCCCAGCCTTGCTAAGACCGTAGGGTCTGCATCCCAGGTATCCTGCTCCTACTCTCATGGCAGTAGCTGCTGCTACAGCATTTGTCACAGAGCTCTTTTCCCTTTGCCTTCAGAGGCCCCAGCAAGAGACCAGCCTGTTCCCTCTGGTCAGGCACCTTATTTTTA